GCCCCCAGCCAGGGTCAACCCACCACAGGATTGAAGATACTCGCTTTTTAATATCAAGCAACTTTAAAGGTGTCTCAGACATCCTTATACTGGGAACATGGACAAGAGATTAATTCCTAAATGAAAGTCCTATAAATACACTTTCTGCACTGAGAAATACAAAGCTTTATGCAAAGGCTTTCCTGGGGCATTACTTATTCTGAGGTCTTCTCCATACATGACCACAAAAAACCAGGAAAATATAGGCAAGCCATCAATACATACATACTCACTCTTTACTCACCTGCCCATAGTTAAGTTTCGGGACCACTTACCAAGCCTGAAGAATGGAGCCTGCACAGCCTCTTTAATTGTGACTGATATTTGGCCTAATGTGCTCTCCTTCGGCACTATGATATATATGAGGCCACCCCACAGACTAGAGACTTCCATGGTGTTTTTTTCAACTTTGAACTTCTTTACCACCAATGGAGGCCGCTTCAGCTCTGCAGCATAGCTGAGGTCATCAGTGGTGACAGCCAGTCTGCACCTGGTGGGGAACAACGGTCACCGAAAGGCACTGCAACCCAGACAGGTTCGGGTAGCTCCACTCCAAATGTGGTGTGTTCTGTAGCTACTGTAGGCAACAAGATGGTCTTGTCTCAGCAGGGAAAGGCAACAGTATGCTACCATATGGAACATTATTTTTCACCTCAGCACAGACATCAACCAGATGAAAGTAGCATGAAAGAATTCAAGGGCAGACTTAAACTCCATGAAGAAGAAAATGGAAATGCTGGATCAGATGCCAAAGGAAAGTAGAATTCTCTTTCTACAGCTCTGTTCAAAAGGAGAGATTTTGAAGAAATTTCAAAGTTGGTTGGCCTCAGTTTTATCACCCTTACTTTCCATCACAGCTACCATAGCTGTACTGCTATAAATGGGTAGTGTCAAGGTGAAAAGCAGAGCATGAGCAGAGCTTACCCTAATATGAAATGGGTGAGAAGAAAGGACATTATAATGTCCCATTTATAATAATTCACCTGCTTTCTATGCACTCTCTGAAACACTGTAATGCCCACATGGGCCAGCCATCAGGGATTGAAGACATAGGAATCCCTGGTTGTCAGACTAGTTCTGCCCAATTCTGACCAAAGCTTCTGTCCTATTACTGTCCTTTTAAAGAGAAAGAAACAACTCACCCTGCTATGCTATAATACTGTTTGGATAACTACCTCTAGTGTTTATCCCTTTTTGCTAACAATTACATAGAGGCTGGTTTCAGAGTCAAGATATAAACCCCACAAAAATATTTTTTATAGTGTGGGTGTTTTTCTGTCCTGATGACAAAGGTAATAAAACTTGCAAGAAAACAGCTTGGAGGCCATGAAATGAGGCAGGATGATACCAGAAGACAGCTAGGTGTGGCAAGTAAGATATTTTTATAGTGGGCAGAAATATCTAGTAGTCTCCTCCACATAGACAAAATTCAACCTTATCATTTCTCATCCTATTCACTTTCAATACAGGGATTATTCCTTTAATCTTGAAAACAACAATGTAGGTATTTGTCCTGTTTGACCACTGCCTTGTCTAGAGGAATGGAGAAGGGCATAGAAGAAGTATGAGACCAACATGAGATGACCACAGTGTGGAGCAGATGAAAATCAGAGGTGTGACCATTACAGCTCTATAGGGCAGTCTTTTTCAAGACAAAAGTGAGAGAGAATAACTTGAGAAATGTAGGTTTATGACAGGAGAAACCTGGGGAGAAATTGTTTGTGATTCATGTTTCAGTAAGGCCAAGCCAAACTTCGAAGAAATGAGAATGGAAGCAAGGAAAGTTCTTCTCACTGTAATGAGAAACAAAGGGCAATGTTCACCTTCACGTTAGCTGCAACAGCAGAAGCAGGAAAATGTAGAGTGGCTATTCTTCTGGGAGGAATACAAAGCCCAGTGCTTCTCCATGCTTCTGGACCTTAGAAAGAACCACGGGCATTATCAGGATAGAAACATGTAAGTCATATGAGAGTTTTCAAGTTACAGATAAAATTCAACAGCAGCTTCAGTTCTAATTCTAACAAATTAGTTTTCTGAAGCTTACACCTTAGTGTAAGCAGAGAGATTTAGACTATTATACTTATAGATTCCTCTGGTCAGCCTGATTCCATTCCATGGTTTGGGTGCTGCTGAGGAAGGAAATAGAAAAATATCCTCTACCTTCATTTCTTCCATCAATCTGAACAGTTACAGTTGGGAATGTAGTCATTTCTGGAAGATTTTGGTTGGGAGCACACATTTGGTTTTGTACATCAGGGAAGTTGTCATAGAGCTCGAGAGCTATGTTGAGTAAAACCATTTCCTCAGAGCTGCCTTTGATTGGGCTGTCAGCACTGACATCAGGAACCCCCTGGGAAAGCACTAGCTCAGCCATCTCCTTCTGAACAAAGCAGATAGCTAGGGAGGTCTGTGCTGGAATCCTCAGGAACACTCTTGAGTCCTGTGCTAATTTCTTGAGCCAGGAGGAATATGGTGGCTTTAGAGCTTCTTTTTTCTTGAGGTTTTGCTGAAATTGGGAGAGTGCCTTGCGAAAGTGGTACTGTAAGAAAATCGCATCAGGATGTAAGACTGGCTGACTTGATGGTAGTATGTTATCTCCTAAGATACCAACTCCAAACTTTTGCAGTATTTTGTTCCCAGGAAACTCAGCAATGACATTCTCATCAGCATTCGCTGCAGCCCAGGACCATGCCTGTCCTCCAATCAGCAGACCACCGCCCCTTGAAACAAACTCATGAATCTTCTCCACCTCCTCATCACTGTAAGCTTTGCAGCAGTACACACTCAGGTTTTCCTTAAGATCCATTAGCTTGCAAGGGTTCTTCTCCTGGCTTAGGAAAGTGAAAAAATCCTGCAGATCACCAGCAATACCAACTTGTCCTCCCTTCCCAGCATCAAGCCAACCAATGGCATTGAGGATAAAGGTTTTCATTGCTGATGCTTGGAAAAAGTTTTCATGAGCAAGTACCACAACATGGCCCCTGCCATAGTGTGCAGCTGCAAGGAATGCCTGGTGGGAGTCATTCATTTTTTTCATCATAATGGTGGTTAAACGCTGAACAGGTGCCAAGACAGGTTGTGGAATCTCAGTCCTTGAAGATATTCATTACTTGACTAGACAAAGCCCTGAGCAACCTGCTCTAGGTGGCCCTGCTTTGAGCAGACATTGGAGCAACTGACCTTCCGAGTTCCCTTCCAACCTCAAGTATTCCATGATTCAGATTTCCATCAGCATGTTCCAAATATATTGGCAGTGCAGCACACCTGAAAAATTACTGTGAATATAATGGCTTATTGCCTCAGCAGAGCTGCCTACTGAGCGTGGCCAGAGCTGAGTCTTGTTATCATGACATGGTCTATTTTCCTTGTTTGAACATAGCTCTGAGACAGAGATGAAGCTGTAATATGTTCTTCCTTATGTAGCAGTATAAGGTCCCATTATTGAGCTTCAAATTCATACCTTATTTGTGAGAAATTCCCTGAAGAATTATCATCACTTTCAGGGACTTGTGACATGAAAAGAAAGTGCCTTAACTCTAAGAGAATCATAGAATGGTTTGGGTTGGAAGGGACCTTAAAGATCATCTAGTTCCAACCCCTCTGCCATGGGCAAAGACACCCTCCCCTAGACCAGGTTGCCTCCCATCCAACCTGGCCTTGAACACTTCCAGGGAGGGGGCATCCACCTCTCTGGGCAACCTGTTCCAGTGCCTGGCAACCCTCATAGCGAAGAATTTCTTCCTAATACCTAATCTAAATCTACTCTCTCAGTTTAAAGCTATTACCCCTTGTCCTATCACTACATGCCTTTGTAAGATACTCTCTCTAGAGCTTTCTTGTAATACTCCAAGGTTGCCCACCTAGTGGATGAAGGGAAGGCGGTGGATGTAGTTTTTCTGGATTTTAGTAAGACTTTTGATATTGTCCCTCACAGCATCCTTCTGAACAAGTTGTCCAACTGTGAGACGAGCAGGTACATGGTGCGCTGGGTGAAGAACTGGCTGAAGGGCAGGCCTCAAAGGGTAAATGGGGCTACATCTGGCTGGCACCCAGCCACCAACA